TCATACCTGTGCTGCAGAATTTTTGCAGTAGTTTCTTAGTTTTTTTTTTTAAACATGTGGTTTCCCATTTTCCCTTAATTTGTTGAATGTTTAAAAAAAGGGGGGAAGTTTCTACAACAAAATATGAGCTCTTATATAAATGTAAGTTGTTATGTAAATAAAGCAATATTATAGCAGTGGCTATTTGGACAGAAAAGAAAAAGGAAGCCCTCATTGCCTTAGAGAGTAACCATCATTACCTGTGCTGCATTTCACTCATACCTGTGCTGCATTACACTCATACCTGTGCTGCAGAATTTTTGCAGTAGTTTCTTAGTTTTTTTTTTTAAACATGTGGTTTCCCATTTTCCCTTAATTTGTTGAATGTTTAAAAAAAGGGGGGAAGTTTCTACAACAAAATATGAGCTCTTATATAAATGTAAGTTGTTATGTAAATAAAGCAATGTTATAGCAGTGGCTATTTGGACAGAAAAGAAAAAGGAAGCCCTCATTGCCTTAGAGAGTAACCATCATTAATACCTAAAAATTAAAACTATCACCGATGAAACTTTTTAGTTAAACTTTTCAGTTAAACTTGTCTTTATAAAAGCATGTAGATCAATGGAGTTTGCAAAAGATAAAATTAAATAAGAGAAAAGTTTCTTTTATAGACATGAACGCTTTTAGTTATACAAAGATCTAATTCAAAAGATTTAAAAATATTAGACAATATTCACGTTTTATATATTTAGGTACCTTAGTCAAAACCTTTTAAATCCAAAAAGACACCTAAACAAGAATCACTCTAAAAACTTTAAATAACTAACAACTTTACTCTTACCTCGTAAAAAAGTTGACATTCACTTTAAGCAAAATAAAATAAAGTTTGAAATAAAATATTTCCTAAGTTTTTAAGTAGTGGCTGAATTGTATCAATGTTCTTCAAAGTCACGTAATGTAGTCTCCTGGGTGTTTATTCACAACATTTTTCAACTTTTTTGTATCAAGATGTATGTTCATAGCATTTTCGAAGCTTTTTTGCACCAAAGTGCATATTCACAAATTTTTCGTAACTCTTGTGAAGCTGAGCAAAAGTTATGAAAAACCTACACAAATAAATTTTTTTGTAACTATTTGGTATTTACAAACTTATTCAGCACCTACGTAAAGTTAAAGTTGCGCTAAACTTGCTCAATAACTTACACAAATGTTTGACACAGACACGTGGAATACTGAAATACTGAAGTTTTTAATGGGTAAAATGGGGTAATAAAGTGCAGACAATTTTTTATTAATCTTAACCATATCACTTTCCTAACGTAAACACTCAGTCTTTTTTTAATCCCAAGCCATAACGTCATTTTTGTACTTAAATGATTTGTAAGTTACGCCTAAAGTCAGTAAATATTTGCCATTTTTTAAAAATATGTAGTGAGAACTATTTTCTAGAATTTTCGACGTTTTAAAGAAGTAGAAACTTAAGTGTAAACTTAAGACTTTTCTAAGCTTTTGTATATAAAGAGTTAAGCTAGGTCTGTAAATATGATTGCGGGTATCACAAAATTTGTGCAAACTGTCGCAAATCTGTGTGAAACCCAGATTTTAAATACACGGCTTTTAAACGCTTTAATTTTTAGGCATAAAGTATGACAAACTGTTAAGTTATATATTAGACGCTTCGCCTGCTGACACGAAATGACCCATCAGCTAATCCTAATAAAAAATTTAAATTATTAATTTTTTTGTCAATAGTTTTATATAAGCGGCTAAAATGGATAAGTTATTCATTTTCGCGAGTTTGAAGAAAACTTGTTAAACTTGAAAACTTAACTTTGATAAAATAAATAATAGTCTTAAGTCTAAGTTATTTCTAAAAGTTTTTTTGTTTTTTTTTTTGTTATCTTTTCGTTAAGTTTACTTAAGTTTTATTTAAGTAAATATATTTTTGCTAAGTAAAAAGCGCAACTAATAGATTCAAAATCCTTGCATTTGCATAAGCATAATACATTCAACTTCTTGATGAATGTATTCCATGTTTTATAATGAACCGAACAACTCATCAATTAATTAGGCATTTGGTCTCAATCAAATTGCACTGCAAGACCTTCCAGTGAACTCAGTTAAATACTTTAAACTTTACTTGGAATTAACTTTTAAAAATAAATAAATGACGTATAATATAGGCAAAACATTGTCCTTAAAACAATAACAATAATTAAACATTAATTTAATGTCGAAATTGAAAATATTGTTTATTAAAAGTACATATCATATTTTGACTCCTTTCTTATAAATATCTTGTTTAAAAAACGAGTTTAAAAATAATGTTATACCTGTACTAATTAAATATGTTAAATTAAATTAAAAATTAATTTAATAAGTTATATCAAATCAAGTTAAAAAATTAATGCTTACCGCAATCTAAATCATAAACCAAATCATATACATGTGATTATGCATAAAAACTTTTTTTACCCTAGACGCATGAACGCCCGCGGGATTTTTTAAAGTTTCAGATTTGACATTTCCAGTCATTGTATGTAACTTCGGTATGCTCATGTCAAATGAGAAGTTTTTTCAAAATGTCGCGGCGATTTAAGCCTTATTTTGTAAACATTAGTTTCAAAAATATATCTAAAAAAATAAAAATAATTTTTTTTTAACATTATATTTCGCCGTTAAATAAATATTTACAATCCACATAAATTTACAACTAAGTTAATGGCCAGAGCAAAAAGGAGACATTATTTTTGTCTTTTTACGGAGGATCGCATTACAAGCTTATAACTTTTTTCCGAGAATATATAGTACCAACTGAGAATTAAATAGATGTTTACAAAAATATTTAGAATAAAATAGGTCATATTTCTAATTGATGGATAATACCGTTGATAAATTAGATAAGATAAAAAGCAAACAAAAATAAAAAAAGTAGGAAATTGTGATAAATGATAATCATTATTTACAGGGTAATTTATCTGGAACCTGATTCAAAAGATAGGATAAAAATATGAAATAAGAATGATTCAAATATATCATAGACAAATTTTATTACTATATATTGCGCTGACTTTACGCAATATATATTGCGCAATCCACTTTTATTATTTTTTTGACTTAATATTGAAGTTCGTTGATTTATCTAATTTTGATTGATTCATTTTTTTTTTATTAGAAGTTGTTAGATAAGAATCAACTGTTAGATAGAAGTTGTTAGATAAGAATCAACTGTTAGATAGAAGTTGTTAGATAAGAATCAACTGTTAGATAGAAGTTGTTAGATAAGAATCAACTGTTAGATAGAAGTTGTTAAATAAGAATCAACTGTTAGATAGAAGTTGTTAGATAAGAATCAACTGTTAGATAGAAGTCGTTAGATAAGAATCAACTATTAGATAGAAGTTGTTAGATAAGAATCAACTGTTAGATAGAAGTTGTTAGATAAGAATCAACTGTTAGATAGAAGTTATTAGATAAGAATCAACTGTTATAAAGTTAAAATATAAAGTTAAATTAGAGAGAATATAAAGCTAAATAAGAGAGAATATAAAGGTAAATTAGAGAGAATATAAAGTTAAATTAGAGAGAATATAAACTTTAATTAGAGAGAATATAAAGCTAAATTAAAGCTAACATTAACAAAAAAAAAATTTCGATTTATTAACTATTAGCTTAAATTGTCAAAATAAAAGATTTTTTATCACAACGTTATCTTTATATATTTGTTTTGACCAATTATTTCTTTAATAGCATTCCATGTTTGTTGCGTTTATCCATTAGATTTTTCTAGTAATTTTGAATAACATAATTTAATACATTAAAATAAATTTTTAACTATTTCAATGACTTTCAATATTTAGTTCTTAAATCATCATTGACAACAAAATAACCGTGGGTAGAAAACTTAGTACCAATTTTTGTTTAGTAAGCTGTAAAAACACCTCCGTTAATGCGTTTCACTAGGATTAAATGAGCCCAAAAATACATTCCTGCGATGACTTAGAGAAATTTCAAATATAGAAATAGCACACAACCGGTTAGAAATAGCACAGAACACAGAACTGGTTAGAAATAGCACTGAACCGGATAGAAACCTTTTTGAAAACTAAAATTTGAATAAAATGCTTAGTATACCCGAGGCTAGGAACCCGTTTGATTACTAATCAATAACTTGTTATATAGCTTAACACATTACTTAAAGTATATTTTTTCAACAAATAGCATTCACTAACAAAAGAAGTTTTGCATGTTAAAAACAAAGTATTCTTTTCTTTTAACGTGCATACACACTCCGCCCAATTTAAATCAAGTTTTAAAATATACAGAAATACATTCAAAAATATCAGAAATGAAAACTTTCTATTTTTTACAAATCACTAGTAATTTAGTTGTTATAAAGAATAAAGGAAACTAGTTGGTTGTGAATGAAATATTTTCTTTCATTGTTGAGCTTGATAATTTTCAATCAATTTGGATATGTATAAATTTTATTTTTGATAAACTAAACAGACTTTTTGTCGTTAAAATAAGTTTATATATATTTAAAAAATTGTACTAAAAGTTGACTCAAAAGTAAATTACTCCACTTGTACTTCATTCCTCTTCTCTACATTTGATTAAGTTGACCAAGGACTTTGAATAGTGCATGTATTTAATGTATGATGATTATTCGATAAGTGCATTTAGTGCATCTAACTGCACCTATCACATAAATCAGTTTACGTATATGTCCATGTTTGTGGTTGTCTACAGACAAATTACTTGGTATATTTTGATTAACTCTGTTTTTATTTGGAGTTATGGAAAATTAGATATAATGTAATAAAAGTTTTTTATTGATGGCTAAATGTTTGTTATGAGATTTTTCACAAGGAAGTAAAAGTAAAACGTAAAATCAGAAAACCATTCTTTATTTGATTTTAGATAAATACAATTTTAAAATGTAATAAAAAATTAAAACATTTTAGTTTTAAAAATCAACATTAGTACATGTAGCTTTTGGTTGTTTTCATTTACTTTATGCATCAATAAGTCGATGCATAACCAATGACTCATTTTAGCACAATTAATTTAAAATGGCGTTTTAAAGATTATTTTATTGGGTATCAATTGCATGGCGGTTTCTTTTTAAGAAATATTTCAGGTATTTTTTTTGGATGCATCCTCTTTACCAAAGTACTTTCAAATCAGTAAACCAACTAGTGTATTTCTTACAGATATTTAGTGGAATAATAACACGAGAACCCTCTAGTTAACAGAAAGTATACGGAATTAATGACATGTGTATTTGAAGTTTTGTGACCATATATATATATATATATATATATATATATATATATATATATATATATATATATATATATATATATATACATATATATATATATATATATATATATATATATATATATATATATATATATATATATATATATATATATATATATATATATATATATATATATATATATATATATATGTGTGTGTGTGGTCACAAAACTTCAAATACACATGTCATTAATTCCGTATACTTTCTGTTAACTAGAGGGTTCTCGTGTAATTGGTATATATATATATATATATATATATATATATATATATATATATATATATATATATATATATATATATATATATATATATATATATATATATATATATATATATATAATATAGATAGCTGAATAGATATATAGATGTAGATATTGTAGGTAAACTACACTATTTCGACTAGATAGTTTTAAAAGAAAAAATATTTTTTTCCTAATGATTTATTAAATACTATATCAACTGCGTAAAATAAGGAATGAAATAAAATTTAGGCTATAAACTTAAAAATATTTCATAAAAAATTACTTGAAAAAATAAAAAATAATTCTTAAAAAATTCTAGAAAATATTCCTTGAAAATTTTGAACAACATTTTTTATTGTATTGCGTTTTTTAATTTTTTTTCAATTGTAATTCTATCATAAATTTTGTAGTAACTTATTTTTAATTGAAAAATAGATGTACTGGAGTAAATGGGTGTTAGTTTTCTTGGTCGCCATTCAGCTTTATGAAGCTAAACGCCACCATAAGTACACCAAGAGTGCGAACCAAAAGGTTTTTTTTTTTGGTGTTATAATTACAGTAATGAAAAAATTATTTTTTTATTAGTAAATAATTCTTTTTCATTTATTAGACAGAAAAAGTTAAAAAAGCACAGATTGAATCGCCAAAAAGAACACAAAAAAAGTTTAACATTGAAGCATCGCCTCAAAGTATTGTAAGTAAAGTTAATGAGTATAATATGCTCATTAATAACTTGAGTTTAACAGTTAATGATATTAATATCAATTAACTAATTATTTCAAACATTTTAAGCTATTTTAAATCAAAATTTTTGTTGAAAACATTATATTCTTTTTAGCTCGGGGATGCAATGCAAATTAAAATGAAAGGTGCTGACGGAATGGACGGACCGGATGGACCAGACGTAATCATTTTTGAAAAATTTTTAAAATTTTAATATAACATTTTTGATTTTTTCTTTTTCATTTTGATTAATTTTGGCAACAAAAATATAAGATAAAAATAATTTTTTAGGGATCAGCTGGACCACCAGGCCCGCCTGGAGTGCCTGGTCCTGAGGTACTTAAATTCAGTTTTAATATCATAGCTTTTAACAAAACAAAAAAAAACAACTAATATATAACCGATAACTGTTAAATTAGTTACTTAAAAATACCTAGAATAAAATAATACCTAGAATGAAATAATTTTTAAATCTTGTTCACTAGCTTTAATACGTTCATTTCCAATTTTTATAAAATCTGTAACTCGTTTCATTTTTAATATAGGGACCTAAAGGTGAGCCAGGAATATGTCAACCAAGCGAATGTGATTATCTAAACATAATGCCAATGGTTGCTAGAGTTACAACACTGGAAAGATACGCAACAGAAGGTGGCAGTGGTATGAATGGTGGAACAGAAACATTTGATGCAGGTGGAGGTGGGCAAGGTCAAGCTGAATATACTGGACTTGGAGGTGGTGCTGGATTTGGTGGTGGTGGAGGAGTTGGTAATCCTGGAGGTGGAGGAGGAGGAGGCGGTGGTGGAGGTGGTGCAGATAGAACCACAAGTTCGGAAGGCACTTTTACACCTAAGACTATCTCTTCTCCTGTTAGCATGCCTTCTCCACCATTAAATGCAGCAGGCGGAGGTGGAGGTGGAGGTGGAATGGGTGTTAAAGGAGGTGGAGGAGGATCTGGAGGAGGTGGAGGTGTTTCTGGAACAAGTAAGTTAATTTTTTAAATACCCAATTATGTTTTAACAAGTTATCTTTTACAAAATAAAACAACTTTTTAATGTTATCAAAACTGCTCTCTAAACTTATTTTGAGAGTACCTCGATTATCCAAAAGCTTATTTTGAAAATACCTTAACAATCCAAAAACTTATTTTGAAAGTACCTAAAACTTATTTGAAAAAATATTTTCAATAAATCAATTTTATTTTTTTTTGAAATAAATATTTTTTATTTAAACTATTTTTGTATTATGGATTAAATATTTATATACCTATATTATAATCTTTGCATAATCGGTTTTAAAATAAGGATTCTTTTTGTTCAAATATAAACTATTGTGGCTACTGAAACGAAGAAACCTGTCAAAAAATATAAATCAACCCTTATTATCCAAGCTTGGGTCTAAATGACCCAAGAACAATGCTGATTTCTCTATCTCCGTACTCAATACCAAAAATGTAAACCTCTTTTTTGAACTAAAACTTTTTTATTTAAACTCCGTCAAAATTCAAACAAAAATTTAATAGATAATAGAATACTAGATATAGACTGCAATTTACTAGATGTATACAATATTTTGAAATTTAAAATTAGAAGATATACAACAATTTATACTAGAACATCTACATCTATATATATATACATATATATATATATACATATATATATATATATATATATATATATATATATATATATATATATATATATATATATATATATATATATATATATATATATATATATATATATATATATATATATATATTTGTGTGCATTTTTGTTACAGATATCATTATTATTGTTTTTAAATTGTGGCAATACTGACAGTCCACCTTATTTGTCAAAAAGTTATTACTCAATAAATTTATTATAATTTGTCAAAAGGGTATTACTTAATTAGCTGTCATTTGTTGAAAAGTGTGGTTGGAGTAAGGTCAAAACTGATTTCAATTATTTATTTTTGAAACAATTTTTTGTTTCAAAAGAAAAAACATTACTTCTTAATTTTACACATTCTCAGAGAGAGATAGCAGCAATTTCTAGTGTTTTAAAGTTTGTAGTGAACCAAACTAAAAGAAAAATTCATACAAATGTGCCTCTAGAACCAAACTATATTGGCAAATATGGCAGAAAAAGGATCACTACTTCATTTTGTGACCATAAAATTAGGGACAATTGTCTTTAAAACAGGAAATAAAAAAGAAGGTTCGACCAACTACAATTATAAACAATAAAGGAATTATTTTCCCCAAAAGGGTGGTCCGGAAAAGATTGTCTGAAGATAATTTAATGGGTTGTTGTCCAACCAAAAAACCACGTTTAAATAAAGCCATGAAAAAAAGGACTGAAATGGGCTAGAAAACACCAAATTATGACCAATTTTCGTTTAGTAAGCTGTAAAATAAGTAAAACTTCTATAAAACAAGTTATAAGAACTTTCAAGTAACAGCCAAGTAATTAAAGAAAACTCTTATATAAATTTCTACATCTACGCTAGTTGTGCATTGGAATTGTAAACTACTTCTTGATCTGACCGGTAAAGATTTGGTTGACCGAAGCACAAGCATACACAGTTGCTGAAGAAATAAGGTGTATTTGACTGCATAAATGTCATGGGCAACCTCATGCAAAACTGATCGGAAAAATGGTGCCTCTGTTTTTCTAGAACAAAAATTGAAAAAAGAACTTGTTCGTTTTGCCTGGCATTATTACATCTTTGAATTAGTTTTGGCTAATGTGCACCAATTCAAAGATGTAATAATGACACAATCTCCTAAAATGTAAAAAAGAACTGTTTATGGCAAAGTAAATTTAGAAGTTTTTGACTTGGTGAATAATATGTAATTATTGATACATTTTTTTTAAAGTTTTACTGTTTTAACCTAGTTAAGTGCTTTTCCGCGGTGTTATGTGACAAGTTAGGTCTTCTTTGGGCATCTAAATATATATATATATATATATATATATATATATATATATATATATATATATATATATATATATATATATATATATATATATATATATATATATATATATATATATATATATATATATATATACATTTATATATATATATATATATATATATATATATATACATTTATATATATATGTATATATATATATATATATATATATATATATATATATATATATATATATATATATATAATATCTTGTTGAGCTACCTGTAACAGAAAAAACTCTATAACTTCGGAACACACACTAAAGTGAAGAAACCTAATTTTTTTTTATTTTTAAGAAAGATATAAGAACCATTATTATAATCTAGAATGCTTAATATAAAAATATTCGTATTGATACTAAAAAAATATTTAAATACTTGATTTTTAAGCAAATTGTAATTAAGGCATGCTTTTTTATTTTGAGTTTTTTTTATTCTTATTTTATAATTGAGCGTATAATGTACAACAGGCTCTATGATTATCTGAGAAAAAACGATATGTTGTATATAAAACAGTACGGGTTCAAAAAAAAGCATTCAACTGAACACACAGTAGTTGAGCTTGTAAACAATATATCGGACGCTCTAAGCAACAATTACTTTACATTAGGAGTTTTCATTGATCTGTCCAAAGCCTTTAATACAGTAGACCATGACATACTGCTAAGTAAACTTGAATACTATGGCATTAGAAATAAAAATTTACTTTGGTTTAAAGATTATTTAAGAAATTGAAAACAATTCATATGCTAAGATTCAAAAGAAACAGTTAAACACTCAATAACTTGTAAGGTTCCGCAGGGCTCTATTTTAGGGCCATTGTTGTTTCTACTGTACATAAATGGTCCTTATTTATCATCAAATCATATAAAATTTATTCTATTTGCAAATGTGTCTAATTTCTTTTAATCACACAAAGTTATTAAAATACTTTTTAAACATGTTAATGAACAATTAGATAAAGGTGCTTTGTAAGAGTGGTTTGTAAGAGTGGTTTGTAAGTAACAAACTTTCTCTGAATGCTGATAACGTTCCATTAAAATTACCAAATCTTATTATAAATAAAGCTATAATTAAAAGAGGATAATCGGTAAACCTTTTAGGCGTTGCATTGGACGAAAATTTAACATGGAATTTTCATATAAAGTCTTCAAAATAAAATTTCTAGAAATATAGGTATGATTTTAGAATTAAACCATTTATTAATTTTAAATCACTAATAGGTTTATACTTTCTTTTCATCCGAAGTTGCCTAACATATTGTAATATCGCTAGGGCAAGTACCGATCATACAAAATTAAAAAAGCTTTATAGTAAACAAAAGCATCAAATTATATTTGCAGTAAATTGTGTTTAATATTTATGAAATAAAATTTACTTAAAATTATAGTTTTTTTGAATAGAACTAAACTAGTGTTGCCAAAAATATTTGAATCCTATTTTAGTAAAATCTGCCATAAATATAACACAAGATTTTCAGTCAACAACTTTGCTGTCTCAAGATATAGTTTAAAATTGAGTACATACTCAATTAAGTATCGTGGGCCATTTTTATGGAATTTAATTTCAGATATTAAAAATGAAAACAAAACCACTCTTGATCGATTTAATTACTACTTTGTATATTTACGCCATTATAATATAATATTTATAAACCAAATTAACCAAAATTTTAGCAGAAAAAATCTAAAACTTGTTTTTAATCAATATTTTCCATTAACTTTTGTATTGTTAGATAGAAACTATAAAAGCGCACAGTATAGAAAGAATCATTGCATTCATATAAAATGCTATTTATTTCATGTTATTAAGGACCATTCTAAAAGTTTTTTTTTTTTTTTTCGCAAATTGTACGGTTTTGTCAAGAAATTATTTCCGTCAACAGGCTCTGTTGTATAATTTATTACAAACAAAAATTAAAAAATTGATTATATAAACAATTAGGTATTATAAAACTATTCATATGTAAATAAGGGGTTGCTCAAGTTACAAAACAAGATTTTATTTATTTAAGAAGTCATAGCAACCTAACGTAAAGTAGGCAACCCTTTTTATTATAGAATTAAGAATCTGCAACTAATTTTAGCAATATATATTAACTAATTATAATATTAATTTAATTTGGAACCAAATAAATTTTTAATCTAGTTTTCATGTGAAATTTATGTTTTTAATTAACAGAGTTTTGTTTAAGATTGTGATTTGTTAATTTAAAGTATAATATGTTAACCTAACGTATAATTTCTTACCTAATGTATAACATGTAACCTAATGTATAATATGTTTGTTATAATGTTATTAATATGTTAATATGTAATGTATGATAACCTAATGTATAATATGTTAATATGACATGTTAACCTAAAGTATAATATGGTATAAATCTTTTGACAAAAAAGACTTAATTTTGGAATACTTTATTTGTTAAATAATATATAAACACAACTTTACTCAATTTTGACTAAAATTTTACATTTGACTAAAATGGCTATTATGTGTTGTTAAACTTTAATTTATCAACACATAATACGGTCAAGTTCCAATAAAAGAACATTCTATTTATCAACACAAAACACTGTCTAGTTCCAAATAGGAAACAATTTTCGTAAAAACTATAATATATTATTAGCTAAAAACAATATCTTTTTTGCTACAAACAATATGTCACAAATCATAGCATATGCTTTGTAAGCTACCTACCAGTAAACTTTTTTTATTCTTATGACAAATAAATTTTTTTAAATTTTTCAAAACTCTTTTTCAGTTTTCGTATACTTAGATAGTACAAAAATATTTCCATGAAATAATAAAAAGGTTTGAAAAATCTTAAAATTTTAAACTAAACCGTTTGCTCCTACCCTAGTTTATTCTACTTCTTGAGTAAGTTTAAAATCCGACAAAATAAAATATTTAAACAAAAATAAGATTTTAAACTAAAAATAAATTTATTGTTGAAAAGTAAGCTTATGAAAATAAAATAAACAATAAATAAAAATAATAATAAAATATTTTAATTTTTTAGAAAAAGAGATAAACTCAAATAAGCCAACAAAACCAAGTTCAGAGGTTCAATTTTTTTTTAATAAAACTATTTTTAAAAAAAAGAAAAGTTATTGTTGTCTAACTAGTAACAACTAACATTTAGGAAGCAGGGACGATCGAGTCAAAAGCAAGTGAAGCAAACAGCATTAAACGTCAATTGTAAGTTAGTTATAAAAGTTGTTTAATTTTCGTTTAAGATTGTTTACTATAAAAGTAAATCTTATTTTTAGTATCCCTGGAGAAGAGAAAAAAGACTGGGAAAAATATACAATGAAAATAAAGGATGGTGTCCCAGAGGAATAAGATTTAAATTGTACTTATTTGAATTTATACTGTTTATAAACGACATCCATTGTAAATATTTTTTATATTAGCTCCATCACGTTGCATTTTAAATTTACATTCATAAAAATTAGTAGGCATAAAAAAAATAATTGGTTGCTTTGAATTCGGAAAACGCTTCTACTTCATAAATGAAAAATCAGAAAATGCAGAAAAAATAAAAACAGTATACTGGTTTGTTTTGATATTTTCTGCATTTATTAATTAAAAACTATTTATTACATTACATCATTATGTTAGTCTTGAAATATATTTTTAGATAAACAAAATCTCAAGTCTTTATATATAAATTTGATATAATCCAGCTATAAACAATAAATAATGTATTTAAAAAAAGTTGTAAAAACTACCTTGGAAATATGATAAAGTAGCTAATTTATTGAGGAAGAACATACAAGGTCCCTCTGTGCTAAATTACGCAATTGTATTTACAACAGATTGTTGGTGAACTTATTCTTGAATTTTAACATAGATATGGATAAGTAGGAAAGAACGTTGCATCGGAATGTGATTCAACTTGTAAAAAAAATTTCTTTAACGCAACATTTAATATACTGTTGTTCAAAGAACGTGGGAAACGTCCAGAAGACCATATGGTTTTGTCATCAAGAAACCGCTTTATTTTATTTGTGACATTTTTGTTTAGTTAAGTTTCAAAAGGTTTCAGTTTTACATAATCTCATTGGCATTAAAGCTACATACAATAAACTATTAACTAATCAAAAACAGATATATACTGTATTTGTTCACATCAATACATTATTACACTGCTTCAGCTGAAACCGTGTAATAATAAATTCATAGAGCTTTTTCTAATTTAAAATTTTAGGAACTATTTTAAATTTCAGAGAACTCGTGTTGCCAAACTTTGTGATTGTTGTATTTTATAATATTAGTTTAATGTAAAGATATGCCCTTACAATATGAAATAGAGAAAACGTGGTAGTTTTGATTTTGTATACTATACATTAAAATTTCCCATTCCTTGAGTGTCATATCTAAGTCTATTGCATTTAAAGAACTTTTTTTTATTAGTCGTTGCGAGAACAACGATAAAAATGCGACTTAATTGTAATCGCTGCAATTTTTGGTATTCGTAAATCGTAAATAGTCGCATTTTAATTAGTTAGCAGCTAATCGTCATCGTAAATTTAATCTAATTGCTTTGCGATACCTAACTAAACAGCGTAATCGTAACTAATCCGTAAATCTTTAATAAATATTCGCTATCAAAGTTTACCGCGTAATCTCATTGCGGTAACGCCAGTGATTAATAGTAATATGATTGGTATTTTTTTTCTTTTTCTTTGGAACGTAGTTGGGTATATATATATTATTAGTTTATTAGTTTATTTCGCCGTTAAAAATATTTACAAAGTACAACAATATAAAAAGTACATATGGCTGGAGCAAGAAGAATGCATAAAATAGCCTTATCACCGAGCCCCAATATTAACGCAAATAAATATCCGTAATACACAATAATCCGTAATATATAAGCAAAAGTATTTAAAAAAAGACAATTTAAAATGTTAAGAAACAAAGTTAAAAAGTAAAAAAAGAGAAAAAAAAAAAAAAGTATTAAAATAATTGAAGATAAATAAAAAAAATAAAAAGAAATGATTAAAATATAGTAATAAAAATGACAAAAATTTTCTGTTTTTGGATATAAATTGGATGTGATTCAACATATATATTTGTATATATTATTTTCTTTCAAAATAATTCAAAATTCAAATAACAATTCTGTTCCAATATTATAAAATACATCAAGAAAATTGTAGGTAACTTTAAGAGAATATATATATTCAATGAAAGTATGATAAAGACATTGAAATTCTTAGTACTGTTAAATGGTCTAGATTTTTAAATTTATGGTGCTAATTTAGTTTAATAAATTTTAAAGCTTTAAAAGTGACATAGAAGATCTGCTATATTAAAATCCGTAAGTACTAAATAACGTCTTAATTTAGATTTGAATTGCGGAAGTGTTTTTTCTTTAATATTAACAATATGCTGAAAGTTTTTCCACAAAATTGGACCCCTACACTGAATAGAATAAGAACATAACTTTAGATTATACTTTTGAGTTACAAAGTTATTTTCTGAGAACTTGGTGGGGTATTTATGGCTTACTTCTCTAAAATAAAGATAGAATATCGCTGGAGACAGTCCATGTTTTATTTGATACACGAACTGTATGACGAGGAATATGTTAATTTTAAACACTTTTAATGCATTGAGTTTACGTAAAAGTGGCTCACAAGGCACAGTTCTTTTTACTCCAAATACAATTCTACATGCGTGTTTTTGTTTAGTATAAATTTTCTTTAACTTAGCGTAGCTGTTGCTTGCCCATACGATATTGCCGTAAGTTAGATAGCTATGTATGAAGGAAAAATATAAACTTTTTAGAGATCTTATATCCAAAAATGGTTTTGCTTATACATCATTGCAATGTTTATTGAAAGTTTTCTTTCAAGAGTGTTTATATGTTTCCTCCATGTTAAATTTTTGTCTAAAATAATACCTAAAAAGTTTACAGTTGTTTGCCTAGTAATATTTATATTATTGATTTTAAGATTGGGTAATTTTAAAGGAAGGTTTCCTGTTTTGGTTGGTTTGTGAAATAGAATAAATTTAGTTTTGTTAGCGTTAAGTGAAAGTTTATTACAAATAAACCATTCATTTACTTTGTTTACTTCTTCATTAACTACTTTAAAGAGGGTTTTAATATCCCTATGAGAATAAAACAGATTGGAGTCATCAGCAAACAAAATAAAGTTTAGTATGTTCGAGGTAAGAGATAGATCATATATATAAAGAGAAAACAGTAACGGTCCTAAGATTGAGCCTTGAGGAACTCCACATTTTATTATACTTTTTGTCGTTTTAACATTTTCATATTGAATGTATTGCTGTCTGTTTGATAAGTAATCTTTAAACCATAGTAAATTATTGTTTTTTATTCCATAATGTTCAAGTTGGTTGGCTGTGTCAAAGACTTTAGACAGATCAATAAATACTCCTAATGTAAAACGGTCATCATTAAAGGCATTGGTTACATGAGTTACTAACTCGGTCAAAGCGTGATCAGTTGAATGATTTTTTTTAAAGCCAAATTGCTTGTTGTACAACATGTTATTTACTGTTAAGTAGCTGTTTAGCCTATTATACATTATACGCTCAAGTAACTTAGAAAAGCATGGTAAAACTGATATTCGTCTATAATTAGAAGAAATGTGTCATCGCCAGACTTAAAAATGGGCAAGACCCGTGCAATTTTTAATTTTTCTGGAACTGTTCCAGATTGAAGAGAAAGATTAAAAATGTGATATAAAGGAGTTTCTATAATATGAAAAACTGATTTAACAACATTTATGTTAATATTATCAAAACCTACACTTGTGTTGTTTTTAAGATTATCTAGAGCATATCGTAACTCATTAATATCTAGTTTAGATTCGTCGATGACCTTATCATATATTTTTAAATAAGAATCAAACGATGATGAGCCTGAAGGAATTTTTTCAGCTAAGTTTGGACCAATATTAAGAAAGAAGCTGTTTAGATTTTCAGCTACTATTGACTTGTCATATATAATTTTACCATCTACTAAGAGTTTCTTAGGTTGAATACTTAGGTTGAATCCATTATTTTTTCTGCCGATAATTTCTTTAATTACGCTCCACGTACTTTTGGCATTTCCGCTAGTTTTTTTTAACAACTTTAAATAGTAAATTTTTTTTGATTGTTGTTTAGTTTTTTCAAATATATTTTTATAAAGTTTGTAGTTTGTTTCGTTTTTATACGTTTTTTTTTTTAAGAATTTTTCATACAACTTTTATTTATATATATATATATATATATATATATATATATATATATATATATATATATATATATATATATATATATATATATATATATATATATATATATATATATATATATATAATATATATACCCAGTGGACGCAGACGTAAAAAAGACGTCTTTTAAACGTCTTATACACGTTTTGGACGTCTTTTGAACGTCTTTTGAACGTTTTGGACGTCTTTTTAGGGTTCAAAAGACATCTTTTTTTGGTCCGGTGCCCACTGGATATATATATATATATATATATATATATATATATATATATATATATATATATATATATATATATATACATATATATATATATATACATATATATATATATACATATATGTATATATATATATGTATATACATATATATATGTATATACATATATATATATATATATATATATATATATATATATATGTATATATATATGTATATACATATATGTATATATATATGTATATACATATATATATACATATATGTATATATATATATATATATATATATATATATATATATATATATATATATATATATATATATAGTATATATATATATATATATATATATATACAACTAAAAACAAAATCGTTAATGATACAAATGATAAAATTATTATTAGGCTTATTTTTTATTTTACTATTTTTATTACTATTACTATATTTTTAAATTGTATATTTAAAATTTAGATTTAAAAATAAAAAGTTATGCTAATGATGGCTAGCCTCAAAGTGAAACAGCTAAACTTCTAAGTGGAGCAGCTAAACGACGGAAGAAAAAAAATTTAGAAAACGAATATAAAAAACTATGTATAATTGACTCATTTTTGTTACCAGCACAGACTAAAAAGGAAGAAACACAACAAGCTGCAAATGTACTTAATTTGGAAAGTGAATAGAAGGATACCAGAGAAAGTGACAGTGAAATCAGTCAACTACAAATAAATACAAATTCTCAAGTTAACATTTTACTATTATTGTTGCATCCGAATTGTCTGATCACTACTCGTTAGATCTCATTATAAGCAATGAAAATGAACCATTTAACTCTGCAGCACTTGTAAACTTTGAAGATCCTACTTATAGAGGGCATTATCCATTCGATATAGTTGATCTAAATATAAAGAAAGTTATTGTTGCATATG